GCATGTTAAATTAGGCTTTGATCTTTCCGAAGGTTTTAGGCTATGTGCAATGTTTGGATGTCAAGTCAAAAACAGTTAATAGAGTGTTGCTCAGGAGACTGTTTGACCACAGCAGTCACATTTTAACACTATAAATTGTACTGTAAAAACTAAAAATATGGTTAGGAAAAAAAAAACCGACCTATAACAGTATTTATAATAGCAACTACACATGTTGCTGAATTGATCATTTCACTGCAGTTTATTAATACATAAAAACAGGCTTTATACCTCTGAGGTTGCTTGGAGAAAGGTCAAGCAAAATATCTTTGTTGTAGTGCACAAAAAAAACAAACTTTCCCTGTACAAGCAGTTTAACAGTCGATTATGATCAGCTCAGCCGCCTATCTCTTGAGTTCATCAGGAGTTAGAGAATTTAGCAGATTTTGTCTTTGTGCACGTTAGTGTTGACCTTTTCGTGTTATAGAATATTAGACATATCTGTATCTCTACCTGAATTCGGTATGGACCAACCAGGTTACCTTCTACTGATCTTGAAGCAATAGTACAGTGTCCTAACTCAGTGCCTGAAATGATCACAGCAAGACTTCCACATTTATATACAACAGAGATAATCTGTATAGATTAGTTAGGGTAGAAGAGAGCACTTGGTATCTTCCATAGACATGAAAAGTATTCATGGTAAGCCGAAAATATCATTTCAAGAAGAGAAGACAGCACTAATGGACCATCATTAGCAGCAGGTGGGTGCACAAAACACATATTTACTTCACAGATGAGCAAGTGGTATAAAATGTTAAAAAGTCCAAAGTTTATTTTGTTTTGCAGTGTCTGAGAATGCATAATTTTTTTATGGGGGAGCACCATTAGTTACAGTAGTACAAGTCAGTTCCCATTCAATTAAAAAAAAAAAACAGAAAAAAAAAAAAATTTCTTTGGACAGTCACCATACTAACCTAACCATTTTGCAGTGGTTGCGCTGGTGGATTGTTGAAAGTTGAAACATTGCACACAGAAATAAACCAGATTGATAAGCACATTCTGAAATTTCCCAGCATGAAAGGAAAAAAAATTATTTACATTTTTCCTCCGACGACTGAGCTTTTTACTTGCTCAGCTATGGCTTTGCGTGGTTTGGAAAAATGCAGATTAAATCATCATGGATAGCTGAAGTCAAAATGATAGAAAATAAAAAGCGGGACAACAGGACAAAAATATGACAATAAAAAAAAAATACACAATTAGTGTTTTAGCTCCTAAAATGTCAATCTATATAGTGTTAAAAAGTATCAGTCACAGCTATAGGCCTACACAGTAAGCATACAAATGTAGGTGGGTTGAGGGATGTCTGAGAAAAGGATTTCACTTTTGATACACCACTTATCCTGTGTAAAACAGCTGTGCTGCTTTTTACTAGACCCTCTTCTCTGTTCCCATGGTGTATGCTAGTTTTTGAGAAGGGCTTGCAGCATCCCTGGATTCACTTTCTCTTGCCCCCCACAACCTTTGTGCTGGAAGACACTGCTGGCTCAAAATAGTGTACACAAGAGTGTGTGGGAAGCTTGGTAGTGCCTGCAGTTCCATGTTGCACGCCAATAATGTTGCAGCTGTGCCTCATGCCTGTTGAACTTGCATCAGGAAATGATGGCATTAGTACGTCGAATCCCCACTAGGTTGTCAGCACTGATAGACCTTCTCATTGCAGCTTTAGACATGTCTTTGTACTTATCTTCACACAGCCTGGAGATAGCCTATGTAAAACAAATACAACACTTTTATATGTCATAATGTTTCATAAATATAACAGGAAACAAACGCTACACTTTTTATAAGTCATAATGTTTAATAACCATAAAAAGGAAAAACAAACAGTCTGGACAGTAAGTAACAGGAACAAAAAAAATGCTCAACATATTTTAGCACTGACTAAATATAACATTTACACAATAAAAGAACAAGAGAAAACCAGATCTTACCTCAAGTTTCTGTGCCCTTTCATTGCTCAAAGGTTCCAGAAGAAAATTAAGGTTGTTGTCATCTGCTAGAGATCGCAGGTCAAAGTAGTATTTGGCATATACACTGGCAGGGACATTAATATTGAACTGCAGGAGCTCAAGGAAGTGTCTCTCCATTTCATTCCTGATAACGGAATTAAAGATACAATGTGAATGAACATACACAATTCATTTGGAACATCAGAAATAGGATTTTTGTATTTGCTTATTGGGACACAGTAATTCAGATACAGCCAGGTTATACTGTCACCTACAGAAGGAATGGACATTGGCAAACAGAAATTCTGTAAGCCTGCACCTGCATAACCCCCTCTACCCAGCACACCTCAGTTTTGTGGTAAAGCAGTACCAAGAGCATGAACAGAAATACAGAGGTGTGGGACCAGTGTCTTTCACTGAAATCCAAGAAAAGGATTTTACGGTAAGCACAAAAATCCAATTTTCTTTCTCATCCACTGAGCGACATAGGGATTCAGATACAGTCATGATGTCCAAAAGCAGTTCAACTGTTCAACAAGGCAACTAGGAATTTCAGAAAGACTTGGCTACATTTTTCCTCAGTACAGGTTTCCGTTAAAGTTTAGAAGGCTTGGTAGAACTGTGATTACACAGTTACATAGTATTTGAGGTTGAATAAAGACACAAGTCCAACCTATTGCTGATGTGTATAGGTCCATGTATCATCTCATTCTTAGGAGTACTTGTACCCCTGTATATTATGGTCCCTCGGGAAATCGTCCAAAAGCTTCTGAACGATTCCACACTCTTGAACGCTTCACACATAATTAGCCTGTGCTCCCGCAATAAGGATTACTCAAGTTTACCGTGTACAGAATTATATTCTCCCACTCCCCACAATACTTTAGTTTACAATATCCAACACTCACAGGTTCCTAAAATGTTTTCATGCGCATTTGTAAAGGAGATCAATAGCTTTTTCATAGAATTAATTTGCGGATTGAGAGTAATTTATTCTGTAGACCCCGGTGTTATTTTGCATAAAAACAAACAGCGATCTCATTCTTGTACTTCTTTTACTGTTGAGACATTGTAGATATTACCACCCAAGCTGTACGCAGTAATTGGAAATCCTGCTTATAGCAATTAGTCATTCATGTGCAGTTTTAGGAGCAGCATCATTTAGTAATTAATATGCAGTTTTCGGAGATGAATCATTCACTCGTTTGTAATGAAATATAGGGTACTGTTCTGTGGAGCAGGTGTCTAGTACCTACAAATTAACCTCTTGCCGTCCGCCCGTAGTAAAAAAACGGACGGACGGCACTGCAGCATCTGCGGGTTGCCGTCTCCAGACGGCAATTTTTTTCTGCTCGCGCGCGCCCCCTAGCGGGCACGCACGGGCAAGGCCATTCTAGTGAGACCCAATAAAAGACAACTGGGGAAAAAAAAAGGCAACAGGTGTGTTATTGATGCAGCTAAGATTGCCAGTGGTCGTGGCTGTTTACTGATCCTAATATCTGACAAGTTTTGATTCTTTTATGCCTGTGAGGGGGGCAGGGGAATTCCTTGTTCCATAGTGCCATTTATTTATTTATTATGGGATGAGTCCATATTGCCTGAAGAGCCCTTTTTCACCAAGATAATAGCTGCAGCTCTGTGCCGATCCATTTGTTGCCTTGGTGATGTGCCCACTTCTTTTGTGGATACGTCTGTACTTTAGTAATAATAAAAAAAGAGCCCTTTCCTGATATCAATCCCGTGATAATGTTGCAGAGTTCATCAGAGCTAATAAACAGCAAGTACCATTCCTTTCATCTGCTCTAGTGTAGTGTGTCTGCAAGTGAGTTAAGGGAGGATAGTACAACAGCAATCCTGAAGCGCATGCATCAATGGTAGATTTCTAATTGACTAGAGGAATAACTTGAGATTACATCATTACATAATCACATTTGAGCTCTATTTTTCATTACATAAAGCTAATTATGTTATAGCTGTAGTAGATATTTTGGAATCAGGTCAATTGTGTAAACTTTTCTTTGGTTGGCATCAAATTAAGCTCACATCTTTAATGTAGTAGCAGGTTGTTTTGTCTTAAAAATACCACAAACGAAGCACAAAAAAAAATAAATTATGAATTTACAAGCAATTCCTTACAACCCTAAGCAAATGGCAAAACACAGTTGTATTTAAAAAAGTAAATGCTTTCAGAAAAAGAAAATGTAAAGCAAGGCACAAAAGAATATATACCTTTCTTTACATATTCCTATTCATCTCTGCTGTACTAGAGTGTAATATATATATACACATATATATATATATATACACACACACACACACACACACACACACACACACACACACATATATATATATTTACATATACATACGCTCCAAAAAATTAAAGTAACTCTTTTTAATTAGAGTATAGCATCAAAGTCAATTAAACCCCTGGGATATTGATCAGGTCAGTTAGGCCTGGTTCACACCTGTACGTTTTGTAGCGCGTTCAACGCTCTACGAACGCTCTACAAAACGCTCAAACATGAAAATCCCATTGTTTTCTATGGGTATGGTTCACAACTTGTCGTATTTCAGCCCGTCTGAACACGCTACAAAACGGCCTACGCCTGAAAATGTACATGAGCTTCTTTGCGGCGTTTTGCATTTGGCTAGAGTCAGTGTCACTACTGGTAGCATGAGGCGATACCTGGACCCTATAGAGGTTGCACAGGCATGCCAACTCCTCCAGGATGGCACGTCTATACGTGCCATTGCCAGAAGTTTTGCTGTGTCTCCCAGCAGTCTCAAGAGCATGGAGGGGATTCCAGGACACAAGCAGTTACTCTAGGAGAGCTGGACAGGGCCGTAGAAGGTCCTTAACTCATCAGCAGGACCGGTATCTGCTCCTTTGTGCATGGAGGAACAGGATGAGCACTGCTGGAGCCTTACAAAATGACCTCCAGCAGGCCACTGATGTGAATGTCCGACCAATCAGAAACAGACTTCATGAGGGTGGCCTAAGGGCCCGACAATGCCCGGCCTCATGTGGCGAGAGTATGCAGCCAGTTCCTTGAGGATGAAGGAATACCATTGAATGGCCCCCACGCTCGCCTGACCTGAATCTCAGTGAAGCCCCGGTGTGGGAGGAGATACCCCAGGACACCATCCGTCATCTGATTAGAAGCATACCCCGACATTGTCAGGCATCCATAAGAGGAGGGGGGGCATACAAACGAATGAGTACCATTTTGAGTTGCTGCAATGAAATTTCAGTGCAATGGAGTAGCCTGCTGCATCATTTGTTCACTTTGATTTTTGGGGTGTCTTTGACTTCAGCCCTCTGTAGGTTGATGATTTTTCCTTTGCCATCAAAAGATGTGGCATCCTTTTGTTCCTAACACATGACCCAGTCCAGTATACAGTAGATATCCAGCATGATATTTTTTCCCCATTGAGATCTGATATGTTTTCAAAGTATTCCTTGAATTTTTTTGAGCAGATATATATAAATATATATTTATATTAGGGATGCACCAATATATCGTCCGAAAGTGACATTTTCTGGCGGATACAGCGGTGCATCCGTCCTTTCTCTCCTCCCCCGCTGGCCTCACAGTGTGGAGGAGAGAAACGGACAGTTGGCCGAGTGCTGCGGGAGGCGAGTGCTGTGAGCGGCCGGCATCTCTCCTCCCACACAGCTTAGCCTCTTGTCACAGTCCGGCAGAGCGGTGTGTGGGCGGAGACAGCCCATGTTGTCACAGGACGCCGAGCTCTCCTCCCTGCACCGCTCGCTCAGCCTCCTGAGACAGCTGTCAGGAAGGAGAGCCAATGCAAACACTCGGCGATATCAGTGATCGCTGAGTGTTTGTACATAATTGAGGACAGAGTATTGTTACTATATCCTCATGAGTAAATGGGAGTGATCTACATCACCTCCTGTTCATTCACGATTGTGGTTATAATAAACATACTATGTTCTCATGTTATGAATGAACAGGAACACAGAGGATTCCTGTTCATTTATAACAGGGGCTGCAGAAAGAGAGTGAGGACTCTGTGAACCCCAATTTCTTTTTCTATTTTAAAAAGGGAAATATCAGGGGTCTGTTTAGATCTCTAATATTTCCCCGTAGCCCCTAAAAGTAGGGATGCACCGATACGTTTCGAGTACCAATGCCGATACTTGGCATTTTCATGAGAACTACCAGGGTTGCAGCTGGGACCCGACTCTGGTGCTCTACCACTGTCCTGAAAATCATTAGACAATATTGCTTTAGAAAAACTGTCACATGACAACAAAAATGTATCAGTACTCGTACTTGCACAAGTACCAGTACTTGCAAAAATGGTATCGGTGCATCCCTTTATTTACATTTATAAAAACAAAATCATACATTAAAAACAGAGATGTACAAATCCCAGGAGCTCCGTACAAACGACAGCTGGCTCCTAACTTTTGAATTTTTCTCTAGTCTAGGAGCTCAAAAAGTATCTGTACTTGTACTGAGTACGGTACTTGGTATCGGTGCATCTCTACCTAACAGTAAAGAATAACAAATATTTAAAAATATTTTTAAAAAGTTTATAAAAAATAAAAGTATTTTTAACAATTTGAAAAAGTTAAATAAAAACTGACTTATTTCGGTTTTGAAATGTGCATTTCAGTGCACCTCTAATTATACACACACACACAGATATATAGAGCCACACACACACTATATTGCCAAAAGTATTGGGGACACCCCTCCAAATCATTGGATTCAGGTGTTCCAATCACCTCCCTGGCCACAGGTGTATAAAATCAAGCACCTAGGCATGCAGACGCTTCTACAAACATTTGTGAAAGAATGGGTCGCTCTCAGGAGCTCTGTGAATTCAAGCGTGGTAACGTGATAGGATGCCACCTGTGCAATAAGTCCATCCGTGAAATTTCCTTGTTACTAAATATTCCACGGTCACCTGTTAGTGGTATTATAACAAAGACAAGTGGAGACGTGTTCTCTGGTGTGACGAATCACGCTTCTCTGTCTGGCAATCTGATGGACGTGTCTGAACGGTACTAGCCTGACTGCATTGTGCCAAGTGTAAAGTTTGGTGGAAGGGGGATTATGGTGTAGGGTTGTTTTTCAGGGTTTGGCCCCTTAGTTCCAGTGATGGGAACTCTTAAGGCATCAGCATACCGAGATATTTTGGACAATTTCATGCTCCCAACTTCGTGGGAACAGTTTGGGGATTGGAACAACAGGAAGCTGTTCCAACATGACTACGCACCAATGCACAAAGCAAGGTCCATAAAAGGCATGGATAAGCGAGTTTGGGGTGGAAGAACTTGACTGGCCCGCACAGAGTCCTGACCTCAACCCGATAGAATATCTTTAGGATGAATTAGAGCGGAGACTGCGAGCCCGGCCTTCTCGTCCAACATCAGTACCTGACCTCACAAATACGCTTCTGGAAGAGTGTGTGTGTGTGTGTGTTCCATATTTTAAATAAAAAGTTTGGATAATATTATATTGGAGTTTTACAATTCAGATTCTAAATCCATGAAACAAATTAAAATGTCTAATACATAGTTATTTTAAAAAAAATAAAAAAAAAGTCGGAAAAGTATTGACCTAAAAAATTCTGCTGTGGGGTGTGTGTTGTGGTGCCATTCATTTCAATGGCACCTCAAACACACCTTCCGCCCGCACTGGAACGTGCAGCAGTATCGCAATGTGCATGCATAAAAATGTGCATGCAGTTTTATTCTGAACTAAACGTTATGTTTTTAACACTTGTGTGTTTTAAATAAGACTTTATTTTAATTTTATCTGATCGAAAAAAGAAGAAATTGGCCAACTAATCTGTTATGAAAATAATCCTTAGTTGCAGCCCTAAACATAAGCATAGAATTTCAAACACCCTCTAACACAGAAATCCTACAGTTTTAAAGTGACATTAAAAGGCAAAAAAATGTTTCCCTCCCACCAATGTTAATGATAGCACTTACCTTAAATGATGTCTCTTTTTCCGATCTTCCTCTTCTTTCCCCATCTTTTCATCTGTCCCTCCGGCGGTGTGACGTCACTCCGATCCAGCGCTGACTGCTCTGTCTCTCCGATCCAGCGGTGTCTGCAGGCGGGTGTACGCGTCCATAGACTTACCTTGCGTCTCTGCTCGTCTCCCGGCCGAGAATCGGAACTGCACATGCGCCCGCCCCAAGATCCTTTGCGGCCGTACGAGCAGTTCCTGATTCTCGGCGCGGGAACGAGCGGCGATAACGAGGTAAGTTTTAAATGATTTTAAGCGGTTTTTTTTTACACTTCTTGCCTATATCTACTGCATGCTAGCAGTAGATATAAGCAAAAAAAAAACTGAGGGTTTAGAACCCCTTTAATTCATGTTTCATACATATAGGGCATGTTTCTAAATGTATGTTCTGCAGAATCGTCCATGGTCAAAACACAATTTCCTTTCTTACTGGCCTATAGAAATGCAAATCAATTGGAATTTTAAATCGCTTGATCAATGCACTAAATAAACTTTGCTGTTGCTTCTTTCTCCACTGCTCTAATACATTTTAATTGCATACAATATATGCACAAAGATACTGTTCATCAAACCCAGTGTGTATAAGCAAAACATTAGGTATGCACAGGAAAGATGAATAATATTTTGGAGGTAGCTATGCAGTGCATCCCTCCAATGCATTGCCCCAATCCAGCCCAAGCACAAATTTACTAATCAATGCGCACCATATGATTCCGACATTCACTACCCAAGAGGCGCTGCATAGCTGCTCCTGTGCCAGCACTCGGATTGATTAGTCAAATCAAAAACCAGGATTCTTTCCCCCTCCCTGCAAAAAGGTAAGCAGGAGAGGGGGCTCTGTATTATATTTAACATGTGTGTGTGCGGATGATTACATGCGGTTAGAAAACACTCTCCCTGGATGCACAATCAATGCGTCCAGGGATAGTGATGGATTCTTAACCAAATGTAATCTTTTCACATATTACATGCGGTGTGCAGGCGTTTACATGTAGCAGCTGTCACTTGATCCTTAACTTGAATGGGTGACAGCTGCCACTTGTAAACAGCAGATTAGGGATTCCTGCTGCAGGCAAACGCAAATTCCTGACACAGGAATAGCTAATCACACTTTAAGGGTTTCTAAACCCTCAGCTTTTTTGCATATAGCAAGCAGTAGATATATGCAAAAACTTTTTAAAAAAAAGCTTTAACAGCGGTTTAAACCTACCTGTGTCTTCCCTGCACGCTCCTGTCCGGAAATGTGAAACTGCACAGGGGGGCGCAAAGCATCTTGGGGCGGGCGCATGCGCAGTTCACATTTTTTGGCCTGGGATGCGAGGAAAGACACAAGGTAAGTCTATGGACAGCGTGCACCCGCATGCAGACACCGTGGGAGAGTATGTGCCAGCAAGCTCAGAGGAGTCAGCGCTGGATCACAGACCTGCAGCAGCGCTGGAGAGAAGTCTGAAAACTACAGGAAAGAAGATTGGATTATAAGACATCATTTAAGGTAAATGCTTTAATTAACGTTGGGGTGAGGGAATTTTTTTTTGCCTTTAATGTCACTTTAAACCTACAGATATGAATAGGGTGTGTGTGTGTGTGTCCGTAGTACCATACCGGATATAGTTACATTTTATTTTGAAGTATGAAATTTGGCGAGCGGCCCCCATTGGGAGAAAAACATTTGTTGAGTGCCCCCGTGTGAATTGAGTTTAAGACCCCTATTTTAGACTAAATGGAGCAGTACAGACTCGCATACAAAACATCCTACCTTTCTCCTCCAAAATAAGCCAAAACAGTACCTATTGAAATCACTGAAAAGCAATAAAGCACAACATAGCATTCTTAGAACAGAAGGTATTAAACGTGCCTCATTCCACCACAAATTCCTAAAATAAAGGAAATGTCTTAATTGTAGGATAGTGGGTGGAGTCATGCAAAGTACTGTTAGCCATAATCAACAAAGTACAAGGAAACTATGGCTTCTACAGCGCAAGGCTTGGGGACCAACAATAAAATACAGCCCGATAGGGTATAATGAGGCGGGCTTAAAGGAACCAATACATGTATCACAGACAAGTCGAAAAGCTTGTCAGGAGTTCCCCAGACACCATACAGAACAGGTTCAAGTAAGGCATATACTGGAAGTTTTAGTAGACTTGGGACATTTTAGGGATCTCAGACTAGTACTGTAACAGCACTAGAAGAAGCTACAGGCTGCTGTTCTAATTTTAAGATGATGCACACTGCATTAGTAAAAACCAATAAGGTATCTTCAAACTCGGGAGCTATGGCAGCTGCCTGTGGTCCTTTAGTAACAAATTCATCCATCAAGGGTGTTTGGGACACCTCATCAGTCAGAGCCTCAGCTACAGAAGGGCTCGGAGTCCACTACAGCTGCAAGTTATATCTGACAAAAAAAAATCTGGCAGAGAAGTAGAAGTACACCTGTGGCCTCCGAGTTAAGTCAGCAACCATAGTAGAAATTTGGCACATTAAAGCAAGCAGCTTAGATTAAATCGGACACGAAAATTTTAATCATTACCAGCCCTAACATATTTATGAATCAAGCTGCAGTAATTCAATAAATGTGTCTAAGTCTCATCTATGTAGAGGTGGGATTTCATTGAGGAAAGACAAATCTATATGGTGGGGGTAGAATCTCACTGGCAAAAGACCAAAGTGTGTGCTGAAGGTGAGGTCACTGTTGAAGCATGCTCTGTTCAGCTAAATTCAAGAAAGGAGACAGAATCCATTAGTCACCCATAGCAATGTTAAAGTGGAACCTACACATTATATTATTATTATTGATTCATTTAATCAAATAAGTGGAGAAAGTCTTTCCAGCTAAATAAAGATTTACCACAGGATGCACGTTTTCTAATATGAAATCCCAGAACTGACTGCATGTTTTGTGAAAGCTCTAGTTAAATAAATAAAAATTATACACACAAACTTATTGTAATTTACACAAAGCAAGACTTACATGTCTTCTACAGTAATATCCTTTAGTATCTGGCAGTAGTCCACATTCCACACAGCCTGATCGTCCCAAACTTTAGAAGACAGCAAGATAGCTCCCAATACAATTCTCTTCCAGTTACAGGGGCATATATCAATTTCAGCATAAGTCAAAAGTCTTTCCAGGTAAACCTAGAAAAGAGGCCTGGATGTAATTTAATGTCAGTAACATCTAAATAAAATATATTTGCTGAAATGACTTTATAACTACCGCTATAGACAAATAGGGTACTTTTAATGAATGGAAATGTATTGTTGTGCAAACCTGAAAATAATAGCCAACACAATGGCGACCTCTAGTGGCCCAATTTTGGTAAAACTAATGAAAGACAAAAAGCATTCAAATACCTTTGCCAGCATTTTAAAAACACGTGCCAACATTTCAAATGCATTCACTCCGGGACTGAAGGGTGCAGAAAAATTATGCTGGGGCATTTGCTACCCAAATTTAAAACCCTACAATTTCTATTTAAAATGATGGCAGGGTCAGTGAAGACAGGAAAAAAAACGGCTATGAATTATTTTCACTTGGAGAACTATGAGGCCAGTGAAAATCACTCAGCATCATAGTTCTATCTGACCTGTAACAATGAAACTGTTAGAGGTCGGCTCAATAGATCGGGAAGTGAGCGAACACAACGTCGCTCGCTTCTCGATCCTGTCCCTGCAGAGAGCTGTGACTGTCACTTACGGCTCCCTGCAGAGATTCCCCCCCTCCCCGATCCTCCAGCGCTGACTGGCGGAACCGACGGGGAGGGGCGGGTACAGCTGGCTCTGCCTCTAGATAGGCAGAGCCAGCTGTCACTCACGCAGCTGGGTGGATCCAGACAGTAATGTTGGGATCAGTCCTGGCTGCGTCGTCTCAGTATACCGCAAGCTGTAGCTTGCGGTATACTGAGCTTTGGGTGACGGGAGAATGCTAGTTTGTGTCCTCCCGTTATCCTTAGAACTATGAAGAAAAGCCCTGACCCCATAGTTCTCCTTTAAAGGGTAACTCAACTTGTGCATGCATTAACTTTTTCCACTAGAAAAGGCAAGTGGGTTGCACGACCGCAGCAAGCACGGCACTGTAAAAAAGTCAATGGCAATGCACCTCACCAAGCATGCAGTGTGTGATAGCATGTGTTAAACGCAAGGATCCCATGTATAGTGTGATTGACCCTAATACCTTTATAAACAGATGTCAACTGTTATCATTCACCAAGTTGTTCATGATCAAGATGGGAAGGGGTTCAAATGCTCTCTTTACCAGTTCATCTGGACAAGCTTAGCAACCAAACTACAATTACTGGTCAAGAAAGTTACATAAAAGGTGCACCTATATCCTCATTCCAACACCACCATTTCAGGCACCAGTGATGTGAAAGAGCTCACTGCCCATTAGCCAACTGGTGGTTTCTAATGGGGGCTTCATTTGAACCTCTCTTATAATACCTACTGAACCTCAAAGCATATGGGCTGTTATTAACCCTATGCCCAGCATTAATGTGGGTCAGGGGAGGCACCATAGAAAAAAAAAAAAAAAAAAATTCCCAAGCAGATAAGATGCAGATTCAGCTATTCAACAGTTGTGTACTTGTATGAAACACGGCAAATCTCCATCTCTCCGGTTCTCTCATTTTTAGCACTTACAAACATAAGGAGTTAAAACACTTACTAAAGTGACTATTGCACACTCGGCTGTGAGCTGGGCTGCACTAAACAAAGTCCGTACAAACCGGTAAATGTGCTTATGATCTGGGTCATGTTTACAGTATTCATCCGTTACTTCTTCACGCTGAAAGTTGAAAGAAGAAAAAGTCAAAAACAGCCATCATGCATTGCAGAATGTAAAAAACAAACACAGTAATAGTGGCAAGTTCAAAGGGATTATTAATGTCTATGTTTCCATGCTATTCTTCTTGCTATCCCATTTACGAATACCTGTGTGTAAAGACCGATGCAAGTTCTTTATTGTTCCCCATCTCATACCACAGCCTTCCAAGAACGCCTGGAGAGCAGGTGGCAAAACTCTGCATTAGTATTGACTTTACCTTCAGATATCAGATCTGAAACATCTCTGTACAATAAGTACAGCTGCATACAACATTATATTGCAATCAGACATATCAATGTATCCAGGCTTCATTTCCCGATCTGCTGAAATTACATTTCCTATTCAAGAAAACAGGGATGTCATCACAGAATCTTGGCAGACATACTGTGCACAGCATTACAGATCTGACCTCCGAAGGTAAGGTCTATTTTTACAGTTGCATTTAGCGGTCTTTGAAACTGCAAGGACAAAAAAATGAAACCCTCTTGCAAGAAGTTTCTTAAATATTCTGTTATTCCAAGGTCACATATTAGTGATCCACGTATGTAATTGTACCATTAATGCTGAAATAGCAAAACAAAATATTGGTCAAAATGTTTTTTCACTTGTATGTGCTTTGAGGTGAAAAGTCTAACAAATAATACAAGTGTAATTTGAAGTTTTGGCTGTGGTTTACACTCCTGGTCAACAAAAACTATAAGGTTACAATAACTTGATGTTCATGTGTTCCTGCTGTGTATACAGAATGAAACCACTGAGCTTTACAAGCAAGAACCTCAGGTAAAACATGAGCCCTAACCAGTTGTAGACACTGGAAATAGCACAAACAAAAATGCGAGAGAGAGAGACAGAGACAGACAGAGAGAGAGACAGAGACAGAGAGAGAGAGACCAACTAAAAGTGGCCATACACTGCAGACTCGAAATTTCCACAGTGGGTGCCACTGTCGGCTGGCATCCCTTGATCATCTGATCAAAGGAGCCGGTTGGAAAATCTTCGTATGAACAGAGCGGGCAGCCAATAAGCTGCCTGCTCTCAGAGTATTGACAGGGGCTGCTGGCCACTGCCAGAATACAAAAGAAACAGCGTGGATTCCTCGATCAAGACGCTTGTAGCGTTGACGGAGGGATGCTCTATTTTTCCCCCGCAGCGTTCAGTCCACATGTTTTTTTTTTTTTGGTTCAACAACAGCTGACATATGGCCAGATTAACACTGTTACTTTCGTATTTACTCTCCTTCATTCATTTGCAGACCATCTGAAGGGGTGAGCATTGATCTGCATATGGTGACAGTTAAAGCAAATTCACATGAATAGAATCTCCTCACATTCTCCTGAATCTCTTATTACAGTGAAACTACACTTAGTAGTTAAACCCTAAACATGCATTCAAATTGGTATTACACACCAGAGGGTCTGCATTTCATCAACCCTGCAGTTCCTTCTACCTGCTGGAGATGTACAAAAGCTGTGGGTAGTCTTCTCCATATAGATTGAGATTGTCCCAAAATTGGTACATTTTGGCAGCAAGGTATGACCTTGCTTACCAGGTTGGTGGATGCGGCGGAGCCAGTTCACTTATTGCTTGGTCTCCCGATTCCACATGTCAAAAACTTCCACGAGATTGATCAACCACATACTTAGTGCTGCCGGATGTTTAACTGCACTGAGTGCAAAGTGGAGACAATCTGCCCCTCCTTCGTATCTCAAACTACTAAAATGTACACATACAATTCATAACTCGGAATACCTTACAGCAAAGTTAAACACCATCGGTAGGTTCGATAGGACATGGCACCTTTGCAAACTTCTGGACCTCCCTAACCTAAGTCCCCATGGAGCCTCTTCTGTCCCTGGATCCCATGGAACGATGGACACCCGAATGTGAGACAGTTTCTCCTACCTCTCTCTTTCCTATTCTTCCTCTTTCTCCATGATATTACCTAATGATTGTTTTTGTGATCTATGCGTTGATAAGAATTGTTATATACAATGCCTTTGTCACATCATACATCTATATGTTATGTATCCCCGCTGGATATATTTTCTCTGCTGAGAATTCTGGACATTTTTCATTGTCATATGTTTGTTTCTGTCTTACTTGTAATCAGAAAATAAACACAAAGTAGAAAAAAAATATTGCATTCAAGTACTTTATTGATTAACGAAAATCTATCCCGTTTGTGTATCACTCGGCTGCAGATCCTCAAATCTTCTCTGAACTCGTGCTTACACTGTCCTTTCTTCTGTAGAGTGGCTACTTATGTTCCCCATGGTCCCTGTGTGTGTTGTAAAGTAGCCATCGCTCCAAGCTTGCTAATATACTTCACTACAATCTCAATACAAATGAACATGAGATTGTAGTCCATCACAGGAGCAAGTTTGGAGCGGTGGCTACTTTGCAACACACACACACAGAGGGACCATAGGGAACAAAAGTAGCCACCCTCCAGAAGGAAGGACAGTGTCAGCACAAATTCAGAGATGATTTGAGGATCTACAGCCAAGTGATACACAAATTAAATACATTTTATTCATAGTTGGGGTACTTGAAAGCATTTTTAAGATTTAACTCATGTGTTTAGTGTCACTTTATCCTTGGTCTACCCTAATCAGCCCCTTTTTCTTCTCCCCTTAGCTATTCTCTTCCTGTTGATTTTTTGTGTGCTTATTTCTATTTTCTTAACCATTAATATTTAATTTCATTTTAATCTATTATGTCCATTACTTTTTTTTACTGTTGCATTAAGAATACAAATAGAAAAAAAATAAAAACATTTCATTTGTAAATAACTTTAAATGATTTGGACCTGACCCATAATTATAGCATCACTTTAAACAGGACAATATTATAGAATAAAATGTATTCTAATACCATTCATTTAAACTAACACAATCAAAGTAGAAAGTAGTTTTTTGTTTTTACTTTGTCTACGGATTGCATGAAAGTAACATTACTACGATACAAGATCAGCAAAAGAAAGTATTGTTGGTCCTAAAAAAATGATATACATATTACTTTCTTAAATTCAGAATTGACAAAGTTACTGCCAAATAAAAAGGCCCATTGCAGAAAAAGTTAAAAATGACATGGGTCCAAATAGAGCTTCCAGGTGTGACAGCTGAAATAGTTAAAATTATTTCTTTATCTGCAGAAAATGTGCAGTGACAAGAATATCATATCATACAAGACTAGACAAACATCAAAATGTAATACATTTGTAAATAAAAATCTAGTAATAAAAGTAAAAAAAAAAAAAAAACTACAAACATCTAAAACTTAAATAACTTACTGTTAAAGGATGTAGTTTTTCATCAAATATATCCAAGGATCTATCGGAATCCCTGCAATATAATATGGTAAGTTTAAAATACATATAGAATTTGGAATTTAAAAATAATAAACATGTCCGAATTGTTAACGATGCTCGACAACATATTTCAGTTCATATATATTAGTCAATTCTTCACATTTAAAAAATACATAACCTAAATATTTAAACCTGTCTCATGTGAAAAATTATATTATACAGAAGCACACCAGGGACCTTCTGTAGGCCAGCAAATATATTTCTAAGTTATAAAACTGTTTCTCCAATACTGCTACATAGAGATTTGAAAGATTCTGTATTTTAAAAAAAATACATCAGTCTGTGCATCTTGTATTAACCCCTTAAATGAAAACTATGAGGGGAGTGAAAATCACTCCTCATTCTCATAGTTAGAGCCGATGTGCGACAATGAAACTGTCACACGTCGGCTCAATAGATCGGAAGTGAGCGAACACATACCGTCGTTCGCTCACTTCGATCGTCTCCCTGCAGTGAGCGGTGACCGTCAATCATCTCTCCCCGTGCAGGGATTTCCCCCCTCCCCTCCTCAAGCGCTGACTGGAGAAACGGACGTGGGAGAGCACAGCTGGCTCTGCCTCTAGATAGGCAGAGCCAGCTGCCACTCACGCAGCTGGGTGGATCTCAACAGCATTGTCGGGATACGACCCGGCTGCAGCGCTCTCAGTATATTGCGAGCTGCAGCTCGCGGTATACTGAGCTTTGGGTCACGGGGTCACGTTTACATGCTTCGCCCCTCCCACAACTGGGCTTAGTCAGAAAGTTCTGTAGTCTAAACTGACAAGGAGCACTACTGACAATAGTGGATAAATGGGAAAAGTGCTAGAACCGTTCCTTGAGAAGCACAGCATCAAACTGCTCCTAGAATCTCTCATCCTTAGTGAGAAGAACTACTTAATGCCAGCCGACAGGTAAGATCTTACATGATCTGTGCAGTCGGCACAAACTACTGTGGTGTGTTTGCCACAATAACTTAACAGCATGTGGTAATTGGCATTGCACTGCAGCAATCCGAGCCAGGAAACGAGCATTTTTTAAGTGAACTTGCAGTGGCTACAAGTGATTATAAATCTGGAATCTAATATACGTTTAAACATTATAAGCAAAGGAAAACGAGGTGAAGAGCAGATGTATAACTTAAGAATATGCTGCAAGATTATCATACATCAAACAATGAAAGTGTATTCGACACAATTTCACATTTACTGATGTAACAAGTTATGCCTGAATCCAATACAATTAACATATTGTTGTAGCGCACTTCTTTGTAAGGAATGTAACCTAAGACACTGATCCTTATCCATTACTGTCAAAGTACAAATAGAATATGATTGGTCTTCATGATTCAACAATTTAATTAACATAAAGATGAATGTGTGTTAGTGTGAAGGCAATGTGGTCAATTTTAACCATAGGAGTTCTAAGGGTGTGGTGAAGGAATATCTGTCATAATTGTTATGTTATATTATTGGATTATTGTTTATCCAAAATTGAATGCGCTAGGAAGGTGAATAAAATTAAATTAAAGTACCAGCTGCAACAATGTGTATCAGTGTGATCAGATGTGAACTAGTATGTTGCGCTATGATATAAATCACTTACCGGTATGTGTTTTAAAGATTACATTATCACAATGAAATATTGAAACAAAATCGCACGTAAGAGATTTCAACCAAGCGCAACATACTGGTTCACATCTGACCACATTATTGGATTATTGCTAGGGATGCACCGATACCACTTTAAGACCGAGTACAAGTACCGATACTTTTGATCAAGTACTCGCAGATACCAATTACCGATACTTTTTCTTAAGGGACAGGTCACATTTTTTCTAAAGCAATACAAACTAATGCTTTAAGGTCACTTTAATATTATGATTCATGAGATGAGGGAGCATGACGCCGGCTTCCTGGCCAATCAGAATGCCGGGCGCTGCATCATTAAACGGCGCCTGGATTCGCTAGCTTCCTGACCAATCGGGAAGCTGGGCAGCAAGTCATTGCACGCTACCCTGCTTCCTGATTGGCCGGGAAGTCGGCTCCATGCTCTCTCATCACAAGTGACGAGAGAGCATGGAGCCGTTTACTGGCCAATCAGGAAACCGGGCAGCGTGTAATGATGCGCTGCCTGGCTTCCTAATACAGGAAGTACTCGTGCTAGGTATCGGAGCATTTGGGCGAGTACGAGTACTCACCCAAATACTCGGTATCGGCACCGATACCTAGTATCAGTGCATCCCTAATTATTGCAAAATAAAGTTGATATTTTTATACGAATAGTTCTTAATCTGGGGGTGACTTCTTTAATGGTCTTATCCTTTATAAGACCAAATTGTTTGTTCAAAAGTGTAATAAGTTTGGAGTCTTTATTCCACATGCCTGTTCTGGTTCGCTGACTTAAAATCCTGAAGGTTGACAAATTTTCAGTTAAGAACATCAGTCCGAACATTTCTCATGACAAGAGACAGAGCCTGAAATTTGTCCCTGTGACATAGATCTGTTAAATGTGATGGGTTCTTTATACACATGTCCATGGATTTGGTGTGCAGGCTGTTCAACACAGTGACATTTACCAACAGTGGAGGTATGGGGTGTAGTGGGGCTTACCGTAGCTTAGGCTAGAGACAATGCATTGGAGTGCATCTGTCCTTTTACAATGGAAACAAATGCTTGTGTATATTTTTCACCCAAAGTTTTTTTAAATGAATGTTTTATCCTCTTCATTTACAGTATATTGTTTATTTGACAAATAAAACATTTAAAAACAACAACAAAAGATGCCTAGAGCACTGTGGATTATCTAAAGAGATCCAGTGCTAAGGGCATCTTCTGTGCCCTTCGCTTGCCCTGCAGCTGGCTGAGTAACTAAAATGTGGAAACCATCATAAAATTCTTTTTCTATGTGACATTGCTTTACTCACAATTATGAAGTATTTTAAAAAACTTGTTTTTTGCTTTTTGTTTGTTTAAAATCAGCGTTAGCAATAGGTGAAAGAGTTTGTAAACCAGGCTGTCGAGTGCCTTTATTTCTCTTTAAAGTATTTGAATTGTGTTTAGGGTAGCTCAAGCTGACACAGAAAGGTTACGGAATAAATTCAGAGAAAATAAGTAAAATGTCATACCTGTTCTTTATGTGGTAATATATTGCTAATGTAACACTGCGAATGAAAAAAAAAATAATCAAAAACTGATAATAATCAATAATCAAATACAACTGACATACAAAATGTATATTAATTAACAAACCACAATAAGAAAGTGTTAAATATAAAAAACAGTCCAGGTACGTTTAGTATATAAGCAGTATCACTTTGCATTCACTTATATTTCAAAAAAAAAAAAAAAAAAAAAAGGGAAAGACGACTATTTTCAGGTTTAACCACTATGGTACCGGAGCTATTTTATAAGTTTTAGTACACATGCAAAAATCTGATAAAAAAAAGAAGAATATCCAAATATTATAGTTTAAACCCCACACAAGTATATATATTCTGTAAGCATAGGCCCTGAAAAAAAGAAAAAACAAAAACAAGATGGGCGCTGAAAATTTTTGTTATGTTGCATGATATTTGTGCAAATGTTTATCAAATCAATACTTTTGTGGGAAAACCCCCCACTAAAATGAATTTTAGTGCACACAAACAATATACAATTTTTGTGGGTAAAACATAAAAGATGGGGTCATGTTGAGTAAATGGATACCAAACATGTCAAGTTTTAAAACTGTGTGCGCCCGTGCAATTGCAAAAACAAATGGTACTCAAAATTGCCCATAGACGACGCATTAAACACTTTACTGCTCATCAGTTTAAAGATAACCGTGAATTAAGGCCCTAAAATGATTGCTCTTACTCAGACATTCACAGCAATACCCAAGGTGTGGTGCAACTGACATTTACATGTTTGTGCATGCCCTACATATGCGTGTTCATTTGCAGATGAAGGGAGCGTTTTATACTTTTTTTTTTAAATTGGATTTAACCTTAAACAATTTTTTTTTTTTATCACTTAACTTTATTGGTTTCACAAAGGGGGTAACAAAGTGTTTCACATCTTTGTGACTTGAAATGTAACTGTAAAACTTAAACGGCACAAATCTGTTAAAGATATGTAATGATATGTGTGCAAGGCATTAAGGCTGTGTGCTCTGATCACTTTGCTTTTAGGATCATTTGGTGCATAAAGAGTATGTATTTGTCCTTTTAATTTGCTTTTAGAGCTGAAACAAGCTCTTCTTTAATTTTACAATTGCACTGCAGATTGAAGTCTTGGATCAGCCCAGTTTGTTTCACTCTAACCAAGCTAAAAGGTAAAGTGTCATTGGTGCATGGTCAAACTCCCGTCCCCCAGCGTCCATGCAGTCCACTAAAATTCTCTTAATAGTAAACACTGCATGACAATAAAAAAAAAAGAAATATGATTAAAACATATTCACAAGCATTCCTGACAGTAGCAATAAATCAGGAAAATGACACCCGAGGTATACATACCATTTAATTGTGCTTCTGAGGTTAGGCTGACTGACTGTGCTGTCATCTAGGAATATTGTGGAACATGAGCTATACTTCTTTGTAAGCTGCCCAGGAGAGACCTAGTAGTATTTATAGAAAAAAAAATGAATGTGTATCCACAGCAAGTAAACATTAGCTCTGGGTTATTTTAATACACATACAGTCATTAGTTTATTCCATTTCCTGACCATGTACAGTTATTAAAATTAGACCAATTTTTCTGTAGTGATGCAGGGGCTGGTGGTAGAGGCATTGAGTGCAGCAAGGGACCCAGAAGATCAACACTGCCAGACATGTGGGTTTCAGACTTGAAAGGACTATTTCCGTTCATTGGAGTAGAAAACACATACAAAAGGCTGTTCTCTGATCCATTCCTTGTAGTAACAGGTACGTTCTTGGCCAGATTGTGATTATCCAAACTCTGGTCAGAATTCACAAAGCAGAATGCCCTGGGATATTGGGCCCTCTTGAGATAAATGGACAACATGTGCTGGCACCTGAAGTAGTTTGTCATCCAACCTAGGGGCAGCAAATCATAGTGCTGTGGGTTTTCTTGCATTGCTTTATTTGACCAGCAGATGGCACTAGAATACCGAGTGCAGAAGACACAATGGGAAATGGCGACAATAAAGAGATAATTGCAAAGGAGCAAACCTCAGATTTTAGAGAAACCCTTACAATAATTTTCTGATCTATAATTCATGGTACATTATTGTGTATACACAATTAAAAATAGACAATAACATTTACAAAAAAACTGCACTGGTGCTTCGTGGGAAAAGTTTGATTTTTTTTATTTGTTTATTAAGGGACACAGGATGAGTACTTCAGGTTATGTAGCTGCAAGGACAGCATAGTATAATACCTCTTAACATTCTCCTTCCTGTTTTGTAGAAAAGTAGAGTAGGAGAGGATCATAAGAACAGAGGTGAGGGACCTGTGTCCCTTCATGTACCCCAAGAAAAGGATTTTACAATAAGTCAGAAATCCTATTAAACACACAATTAGAAATGTACAAATAGTAACATTTACACAAACACTGCACTGGTGCTCAATGAAAAAAGGGAATTTTGATTCACTATTTTTTTTTTTTAGTACATAACAGGATAAGTAATTCATTTGCATAGCGACATCCAAAAGCAGGCCTACCGAGGGGTGAGCAACACCGCAAACCAATGCTAACAGGCCTACAAGAACAGGAGGTTAATAGAAGAGGCCCAATAAAGCTTACGAGCTGCCCAAAGAACCTTATGATTGAATCTGGCATCAGATGAGGTCTGAACATCCACCTGATAAAAACAGATTAACAGGTGAAAAGAGGACGAGGTGGCAGCCTTGCATCTGAGAAACAGAAGACCAATACTAAAAACCCCACAAAACAATATCTAGTGGAGTGCGCTGTGTCAGGGAAAGGTGTAACTTTGCCCTTATGTCTATAAGCTACAATGATTAGCTTCTGAATCCACCTGGAGATAGTGTAATCAGAAGCAGGTTGTCCACTATTTTACAAAAATGGTCCAAAAGAAGCTGTAGCAGAAGAGAGACTAGCACAGCGCATACCACATCCAGACAGAAGAAAACTCCTTGTGATGTCATGGGGCAGGAAAGAAGACATGGGAGAACAATGCAAGGTTGCCACTCGCCTTGACAGAGGCGATAGCAACGAGAAAGGCAGCCTTGTGTGTGAGAGTGGATAGGTGTATATTACCAATAGGTTCCAAGGGCAGTTTCTGGAGGACCGTCCAAAACAGTTTAAGATCCCACAAACTCACTGAAAAATGTACAGCGGGAACAATGTGAGGGACACCAGGAATAAAAAGGCATTTACTAGAGGCAAGTGGTCTTTCAAAAAGTATAGCTAGGGCTGAGATTGACCCTTGATGGCACTCAAGGACAAATGTTCATCCACATCAGACTGGGGAAAAGACAAATTTGTCAAACGGAGTAATTGCTGGAATACGTCTTGCCTTGTACCATAAGAAATATGAATTCCTGGTGCGATCGTAGACTTTCCCAGAAGGCAATTTCCTAGCTTTAAAAACATAAGGACAACAAAATCAGGTAAGGCCACTATCCTTCAGGACTTGCGCTTCAACAGCCAGGCTGCTAAAGTGGAAGTTAAATAAAAACCCGCTGACAGGTAGGATTTTTATGACAGAAGAGACATGCAGCATCTCTTCGGTCTTACAAAATCCTGTCAGTGTTATTTTTTTACACTTTAAATGTTGCTTTCCAATCTGTCAGCGTTTGCATGCACTGAGCCGTACACATGCGTAGATCAGTGCACAAGCTCGGCAAGGTCCTGTGCCAAAATAAAGTAACTCCTGTGCGCATAGGCGGGAGTTGTATCATTCCATCCCTGCCAATCAAGAGGCTGAAGACACTAAACCCGGAAGAAAGATGGAAGCATCGGTGGAGGAAGAGAGCAGCGACATTGCAGCAGTGGAGGGGGATTAACCTGCAAGGTAAGTCACCCATGATGTACTAATAGGCTGTGCATACTAGCACATTATGGGAAACACCTCCCAAGGCCCACAGACATCCGCCCACTCTGACAAGTGGTGGCGCTCCTTCATTGCAAGGAGGACTTACTTGTGGGTTTGGAAGTCTAGGATTTAAGGCTATGCAAAATCAAAAGCAACTCTTTGTAGTCTCTGGAATGGAGGGTTAGTAGATCATAAACTGGCAAGGCCGGCAGGACCTCTGCAACAACTGAATATGCTTGTGAGATGAAACAAAGAATCTTGATAAAAAAAAAAAAGGGCTTATTTATTTCTGGAGGAGAGATGTCCATTCTCCTGGAACACCAGCCAAAAACCCCCAAAACCTGGGAGTATGATGGGAGCTCACCTATTTAAGGCAGCAGCATAACCCCGGGTACCTCAAACATCCTGCGGTACCTATATGTACATTTTAGAACTGTATTTTGAATGGGCTGCTTTAACCCTTATTTTTGTTTTTACTAGAAAACGTACATGAAACCCCTAAAACATTATCTGGACTTCTATAAACAAGCCTTAGTAGGGAAACAATGTGTCAGACGGGGAGTATAGTCTGGCTGGATTTGACATGATCTACGAATGATAAAGCTTGTTGATTTGAAAACAAGTACGGGATGCTGCGAGCTCTGCAGAGGTGAATAGCTGTAACCTGCCTTGAGCAATTTTGGGCATCTCCCCCAAATTATCAGGGTTATTCACAAAAGGGTGAAGAGTTTGGAGAAGACAGGAGAAGTGAACCATCTAGGACAACATAGCTAAACTGGAACAATTCTCCAATTCAGATCACTTTGCAGTTCAGCTATGTTGTCCTGGATGGTTCACTTCTCCTGTCTTCTCCAAACTCTTCCCCCTTTTGTGAATAACCCTGTATATATTTTCTGTACGGAGAGGCCCTTCAGAACAACATTATGGAAATTGCAATAATTTTTTTTTTAAACTCAGATATTTGTGCTACTGTTTTCACTGTCATTTAATTGCACACAAATAAAAAAGAATTCCCAATTTTTCATAAAGGCAATCATGATTGTCAAGAGACGTTAAATTTAAATACATTTACAGCATATTAATTAGAGTTAAAGGAGAATTATGGGGTCAGTGATTTTCCCCACAGTTCTACCCAGGGTCACGGGAGGACACAAACTAGTGTCCTCCTGTGACCCAAAGCTCAGTATACCGCGAGCTACAGCTCACGGTATACTGAGACCGCCGCAGCCGGGACGGATCCCAGCATTACTGTCGAGATCCACCGAGCTGCGTGATTAACAGCTGGCTCTGCCTATCTAGAGGCAGAGCCAGCTGTACCCGCCCCCTCCCGTTCCGGCAGTCAGCCCTGGAGGATCGGATAGTGGAGGAGGGAATCCCTGCAGGGAGCTGCGAGTGACGGTATGTGTTCTCTCACTTCCCAATCTATTGAGCCGACGCGTGAAAGTTTTATTGCCACACGTTGGCTCAAACTATGAGGCTGAGTGATTTTCACTCAACTCATAGTTCTCCTTTAACTGTGAATAATGACCCTATAATTATTCCTCTTACACCTTCATGCATGTGTGATACCCAATATGTGTTTCACAATTGTAGTTTACATATAGGTGTGGAACCTCCTAATTTGTTTTGTTATTTTATTAGACACTTTTTTTGTATTTTTATTTTTTTACTTAAACTTATTTGCTATCACAAGGGACTGACAAGTTTTAGCCCAATCTGCTTCTTACTGACCAAAACTGCTGGTCCTGACAGCTGAGCCCGGTAGTGAACATAGAAGTAATTGAAGTATGTCCTTGCCTTGGTGTGCGATGCAGGCAGAGGGAACCATCCCAGGGAATTCCTGTAGCTATCCAAAAGCCCAGAAGGCGCCAACCTGAGGTAAGACCTACAGCATCCCACCCACATAAGTGGATATTTAAAACCTGTGACTCGGTAACAAGCTAGTCACCAAAATAAAATGAGCTGTCAAGACATGTTCTCTTATCCTAGCCTGGCAGGGACAACAGAAAACACAGAGGATATAAGGGTGGGTGAGGCCTTATAATTTTCTGTTTCCTGTCCCACAAAAAAAACATGATAAAGGTTCTAACCCATCCCACTTTGTCCACATCTAAAACAAGCGCAGCTCTATGACTGAAACGAATTGATTCCCTCTGTAAAAGAGTATATCCAACTGAAGACTAAACAGCAGTAGTTTTTAATAACAGCTTGCGTGGCTGTTCTATGGGTTATATAAAAATTGCAGTTTTCCTCTCACGCATAGAATATACTGCTGGGAACAAATTAAACAAGCTACGTAAATAACTCACAGTCAAAAAGGCACTACTGTCACAATATATCATAAGGTTACCATTACTTACATGATTTATATGGTTGCTCTTCCTCTTTTCTCTCACTGTAAAAATAGGCAAATACAAGATTAGTAAACGTCCAACATATCCAGCATTTAAACCAGTTGAAACCTTCTGTGCTGTTCTGAGGTACAGAAATTAAACAAGTATTCAGATCAGGAAGTTCAGAGTTTATTCTGATGTTCTAGTATGCATGTTTGTTCCAGGTCAGAGAAAGAACTAGTCAGAGACACCCAGGCAACTAGTATTCTTAAGTGGGGTATACATGGTTCCATTTTTTTCCATCAACCTGCGGGCTGAAAGAAAATATAGAACAGATTCCTCCAGCAACAATCACGAGCGTTGGACTAATCCTCTGCTTTTTAAATTGTATTCTGACAGCGGCACTCTGTTGGTATAGCCGAACTGAGCTAGCAGCTGACTGCATGCTAGCTCCGTTTGCCTGAGCATTTTCCAACTGGCTCCTTCAAATCAGCTGATCAAAAAGGTGCCAGGCTTGAAGGATGCTAACAGAAGCACCTACGGTGCACATTTCGGCCGGTTCATCAGAAATCGATGAGGCTAAGAAGTGCTGGTGAAGAGCTCAAACAATCTACACGCACATCTTCCTCCAGTTGACGTGTTTCAGGGGCCAAACCCCCTTCATCAGAAACAGAGGAGGTTCTTAAGAATCGAAATTCCACCAAAGGCAGCTGACCTTGAGCCTGGTCACATGAGAGCGCTGCACCTATCAGGCTGAAGGAGGCGACCGGTATCCACCCGCCCGCTGTGACTGGCTCACATGAGAAGGCCTGCAACCGCCCCCTCCTGACAGGCCACCTATTGCTTTGATGGGAGGGGGGCGGTTGCAGGCCGTCTCACTCATGTGAGCCAGTCACAGCGGGCGGGCAGATACCGGTCGTCTCCTAAAGCCTGATAGGCGCAACGGTCTCATGTGACCAGGCTCAAGGTCAGCTGCCATTGATGGCATTTCGATTCTGAAGAGCCTCCTAGAGATAGGGGCACCTCAGGTTCTGATGAAGGGGGTTTCGCCCCTGAAACACGTCAACTGGAGGAAGATGTGCGTGTAGATTGTTTGAGCTCTTCACCAGCACTTCTTAGCCTCATTGATTAGTCCATCCGAATTCACCTTGAGATTGTATTACTACCAGCATGTTACTATTGGCTGTTTGGGAGTACCTTCAAGCTGTTTTTTTAAACTTTTATTAAATTGCAATTTACACTATGGAGGCGCTCCTTTTGGTCCTCTTTCCTTTAACCCCTTCGTGACTGACGACGTACAGTGTACGTCGCCAGCATCGGGGCAGTTTAAACAGACATACCTCTGCCTGTTTGTTTTTCTGACTAACGGTTTTGACAAAAGTCTACTTGCATTAAAACAATAGCAGTCCCAATAAACCCCTGACAATTGAGATAATAACTCCTTCCATCTCACAAACTGCATATTTCCATTTGCCAACATGCCTTTTGTCAGCAATACTTTAACCAATTCCCCCTCCTTGAGCCATCAGCCGACACTTTTCATGGTTGCTGTCTCGCAATCCCAGCAGCAGTGCCATCTGTTTAATTCAGTACAAAAAAAAAAAAAAGACAATATGCACCAATCACCTCTGGTCACATAAGGGTTAAAGAACTTCAACCAAAAGAGCAGCATAAACTTTCACATACTGCTCATCGAATTCTGAAGCTAGGCAAACTTATCTATTAGGCATATGTAAATCATAACCCTGAACTTGCCTTATTTGCTTCCTTTTGGTCTGTTGAAGTTAAACTCAAGTCAAATTAGGGCAGAAATTAACATTTCACCAAAAACAGATATTGTCAAGCACTATGGCCTGTTCACACTGGTCAACATGCTAAAATGTGGAGCTTTAGTGCAAAGATTGGTGTGCTGAGTGAGGTCCGGCAGGGGGGCGGTGCGATGTGCCCTTTCAGCCCTTAATTTTTAGGGTGTAAAAGTGCACATTCCAGCCAGGTCTCTGAACAGCAGGACAGTGTGCTGTGGTGAGATGTGGTGCCATTCAGTGTAGTCCGAAAACATGCCTGCATTTTTCCACACCGCACATCACACCTGCATTGTAGTGTAAATGGGGCACATAGAAACCAATTGTATTCTTTGCGCTCTAGGGGTGACTTGCTGAAAAACACCAGTTGCCGCTATTGGTGTGAATGAGCAAATAAGGCTTCCTGTACCTTTGTTGCTTCCCAGCACTAACCGCAAATCTGAACAGGCTGTACAGAGGAATTGCTGCTCTCTGAATGCCCCCTCTCCTTCAATTGCCGATTGGTGCACTGCAGTGCTGACAAAGGAAAGTAACACATTGGACCACTGTTCTTGCACAGAGCAGCAATTCTTAAAGACCCTTTCACCAAATTAAAGCCAAGTATTTGACATGCAGTGATTTTCCTTTTCATTATTTTTTTAATCACTAGCAATGTGTTTATGAACTTCCTAGAAAAGTTGACTACTGCAGAACTTCTTAGTGTACACTACTCCACAGATACAGTGAGAAGAGTAAACATTGTCACCAGGACAGGAAGTAGGTTACTTTTCAGGTTAAAAATAAATAAATTCCTGGGATAGGATGCACTTTAGGCATGCAAAGAACAAAAAAGTACTTACCATCAGTCTGGGACTTGCTGAGAAATATTGTGCTTGCTCTTGCATGGTCGGATGGGTTAGACTCCGGGGCAATGTCTAAAATTAATTGCAAATATACATCAGTCAGAAATATTCAGTGTGCCCAACATTTCCATGCAGCTCTCTCTATAATAAATATATATATATATATATATATTCTCAGCACGCCTCGGTCGGCTTTAATTAATTATTGGCCCAAAATGCCGGCATTGCATAGAAGCTCACTCACATTGCATCATTTGATTGGAAACAAGTTTAGTTTTGCTTTAAAGCCCAAAACAGCAGTTGATAAAAAATTACACAAATCAAAGCAGGGTAACTCAAAATAGGAAGTGGAAGGGGCATTAGAGTTTGTTCTCCCTAGCCCCAGCAGAAGAGTCCTATGCCCACCAGTATGCTGCAAATGAAGGCTATTAAGCCCTGTGTTAGGCAGTGATCTGACATGCCCAAGTCAGACCGATTTTAGCAAGATTTGTGGGTATTTGGGGAGATTGTCTGCTATGTTAAAGGGCAACTTCCCTTTCCCAGGAGAATCTGGAATAAAATACATGCCTTTCGGCGAACGCTTCTTCCCCTCCGCTGGTAAGGGTGTGCTATCATACACTGTACAGCAGACTTCTCCTTCATATTAGCTTTCCGTAATCCCCCGTGCTAAAATCGCAGGGAGCGAGTGTCAACAATTAACCAGTCAGTCTTTTGCAGTGCACAATTCCAGTTTTGTGTTCCTGGCTATGCTATGCAATATGGTAGGAGTGTATGAACCACAGAAGTAAGTGCTTCCAGCCAGGATCCTAGTATACTATGTATTTGTACGGGGTCTAACTTGTTCAACTTTTGCCATTTAACGTAAAAAATAACATTTGAACACTTTATAAGGAAGACAATAATAACTGGCTTATCAGAATTACAAATGTTGAAGTAAAACGAGTCACATATATGTACTTCAATTGTATATTTGTTCGTGTGGAGTTCAGTTCTAAAGGACTGTGGGCCATTATTTGGTGTGTCTTGCAGTAGAACCATATATCTTTGTTGACAATTAGATGGTTAATTAAACAAAATTGATCAAGTTATAAAGATACAAATAAAATTAAGGTAAAAATGTACATGGCTGCAACGAATGATTATTTTCATAAAATCGATTAGGTGGGAGATTTTTTCGGTTAATCGGATTTAAAAAAAAAAATGAATACCATGCTTAAATTTTAAATAACACACTTAAGTGTTACAAAGTTTACTTCAGCATAAAACGGCATGCACAATTTTTTGCAATCGAACTACATTGTGGAACTGTGCGTTCCAGTGTGGACAATCACACTGTGGTTGGGAGGTGTGTTTGGGGTGACATTGAAATGAAATGGCATTGCAACGCACCTCCTGAGCAGAATTTGTCAGACTGAAACCAAAAATGACTTTTTCCTTACCTGTTATAATTTATTTTGCAATAATTGTATTGTAAGCACATGGCGCTTGAATAGCTTCAGCCAGGGAATGACAGCTGCCAGTGGCAAGAGTCCGCAGACGGCAGCTTATTATAAATACAGCAGATAGTGGGCTGGTGCAATAGCCAGCCTGCTATTGGCCATTTCAGATTGCAATAGCCAACAGCTGGCTATTGCACCCACCCGCTGCTTGCTGTGCCCTCCTCCCATCATGGAGACGAGAGCTAGGGGATCAAACCAACCGATTCATAATAGTTGACAAAACTCTTCTTATAATCGATTAATTGGTTGCAGCCCTAAAAAAGGTATACGAATTAAGGTCATGTGACAACATACCATGAATTGTGGTTTCCAGATGTTACATTAAAAAAATATTTTTTTTTAAAAACGAATTAGTGAAAACTTCACCTATATTTCCTATAAGTGTATTTTTTCGAAAATATTTCTAAGAGTATTCCAAAAGGTGGATCTAGAAGTGACCCTTCTAAAGGTCATTTGAGATTGTGGCGCATGGTAAGTACAAGGTTATCAGTCACACGTTTGTAAAAATTCACTTGCAAGTATTTGAAAATAAGCTTGTTACGTCACAATGTCCCTTGCCCTTCAAGTGAAAGTCACTAGTGAACAAACCTTTATTGACTGAAGAAATAAAGAAAATGGTTATATAAAAAAAGGAGGTTATACTGATTTAGGTAATTTAATTAGGTTTCATTCAAGCATGCATAAGCACCAATCTAGCTCCTTCTGAAGTGTCAGTACAGCGGAGAGGAAATAAGTTAATTGCAATTTCAGTGACTTCAAAGGCCTGGTCCATACCTAGGCGAGTCATCCTGCGGATTTAGCCGTGCGATACAATGCAAAAACACAGATTTGCATTTAAGTCAATGGAGGCTGTTCATACCTTTAGTGTTGCATGGGGGAAATTGCCTGCTGCGCAAAAAGGTGCAGGAGCTGTTTTTGGGCAGTTTTGGTCCCACAGACATCTCTATGCATTGAAAACCATGCAGTTTCCAAAGCAAAATTGCACAAAAAAAGCGTGACAAGCGCATGAAAACAGGTAAACAGCTAAACAGCTCAATCGCCTAGGTGTGAACCAGGCCTAAGACCTACGTGGGGAACCTGATCACAGTTCAATATGCAATGTGTGTGGTTGGAATTGGAGTACTGCACCATGAGAAATGTCTCCGGAAGAGACACTGGAACTTGTGCATGCTGCGGGAAAGCTACAGGGAAATGGGGGAACAATCTCATTTTATGGTCCGTTTACATAAATTCAAGACTGGGAGGCAGAAACCCCCAAGGGAAAGTAAAAGTGGCAAATTATGCTATATAGAAGATGAGCACAAAATGGACATTAAAGTGACATTAAACCCTCAGATTTAACATAAACCAATACTGTAATGTGTACCTTACTGTAATCCATGATTGTTTCCCTTCTCTTTGCTGCTCTTCCTTTTAAATCCTGTCTTTTCATGCTTGGGGAGAACTTCCCTTTGCAGCTGGTTGCCTCTTCCTGTAGTGCTGGCTCAGGTTTCAAACCAACACACAGACACCATGTATCCATTCCAGAGACAAGGCAGTCTGCTGCAAAATAGAAGTTCTGCCCAGCATGAGAACAGATACAGATTTAAAAGGAAGAGCAGCAAAGAGAAGGGAAACAACCATGGATTACAGTAAGGCGCACATTACAGTATTGTTTTATTTTAAAAAATCTGAGGGTTTAATGTCACTTTAAAGTCAAATTGTTTTTCCCCTCCCCCCAATGTTAGCACTTACCCTAAATGATGTCTCTTAATCCGATCTTCTAATTTCCTGTCCTTTTCAGCCTTCTCTCAAGCGGTGCGGCGGATGTCCGATCCAGCGCTGACTCCTCTGTCCTTGCTGGCACTTCCGATCCCACGGTGTCTGCATGAGGGTGCACGCGTCCATAGACTTGCCTTGCGTCTCTCCTCGTCTCCCGGCCGAAAATCCAAACTGCGAATGCACCTGCCCCAAGATGATTTGCGGCCGCCTGAGCAGCATCGGATTTTCAAGCGGGAGCGCATGGCAAAGACGGGGTAAGTTTAAACCGCTGATAAAGCGTTTTTTTTTTTTGCATATATCTACTGCTTGCTAGCCTCATATATATGCAAAAAAAAACACGGAGGGTTTAGAAACCCTTTGAGCTTTCAGGATTCATACTTCATGTATAGAAACTTAATTTATCCGGGCAACTCCACTTGTAATTACTTGCTCTTTAAACACACACATTCCGTAACAATGTAAAGGGAAAAACAAACACAACAGTAAGATAAATATTTGTGGAGCACTAGAAGAACTAGATGTCAAGACAGATATGATAAATGTTACACTATATGAGCTGCATGGATTCATTAGAACTCTGATCCCAACTCTGACTAGGAATGGTTGGACAACCGCTCCTGATCCTACTCTAATGATCCTAGGTCTAGCTTTGAATAATAGATTGCTGGCAGCCGAGTTTTATTTTCTCTACACATACAGTTGTCTACTAGACACCTTAGCTGACCCACTTCCTTTGTTCCAATATTTATGGTTTTGACAGTATTATTCCTTTTTCAGAAGGATCATTTTAGGGTAATGTGCAGCATAAAGGTTGGCTTGTTCATCGCTCATTGTTCTTCCTTCTTCCCTTCACCCTCCATCTGTACCCCTCTCTTCCCCTACCTGTCTGGTCTCTTCATCTGCCTTTTTCTCCCTTCAGTTCCTCTCCTCCCCACTTCCTGAAGCTGTGCCGATTTATGTTCCCACTAATGACTGAAAGTGGGATTACAACCTGCGGTCGATCAGCCACCTGGTCATACCACCAACCTAACGGAATTTTGCTTTGACACTCTTTATTGCTCTTATTTACATGTGTTTTTTTTTATTTTGATTTCTTGCAACGTTGCAAAAACCTTAAAATAACTTAATTAACTTTTAATTACTGCAAAAAAAAAAAAAAGGAAGGATGCAGGCAGAAAACTGGTGGTGAAAATTTGTGACATTGTGACAAGTTGACAGAATAAGTTTGCTTTTGTACAAACCCAATCTTGTTCAAAGCTCCTCAAGTAAAAACTTAGAGAACTATGAGGTGAGTGCTTTTCACTCCTCATAGTTCTAGCCGACCTGTGACAATGAGACTGTCACAGGTCGGCTCAGTAGATCGGGAGGTGAGCGAACCCATACCGGGTTCGCTCACCTCTCGATCCTGTCACAGCTCTCTGCTGTGACAGGGGAGGGGCTGGATTCCCCCCTCCCCGCTCCGATCTGCCAGCG